AAACCTGACAAAATTCTCCACCAAAGCTCTGATGTCAGTTGTTGGAAAATTAAACGAGTAATTTCTCTATAACCAGATTAGTGAGAATGCGAAATAAAAGAGGAATAATAACACACAAAATTTGACAACAGAGTTCGGCCAATTATGCCTACGTCTCAGACTGCTGTAGATATTTTACTAAAGGGAAAAAATTTACAGGTGTTTACAAAAACACTCACGGCCCAATTACACCCTGAAAAGTGTTCTCAATTTTCTCTCACTAAAGCTTTTCTTTTTTGTTTCTCACTTGGATTTTAAAGAACCTGTTGGGGTGAGCTATTTATAGATGCAGAAGCCCCCATTCTATTTCTACCAACTAATTCATTTAATTGACTTTCCTTATTTTCAACAAAAGATGAACTGTCAATTGAGTTGTTGGCTTGGCAACCAATTTCTCCTATTGCCATTTATTGCACCTGCAAGTTTGACAATTTGACAACCAATTTCTTCTATTTGTCATTTATTGCACATGCAAGTTTGACCAACAGTATTGTATTATCATGCTTTGTTTAGTTACTTATCAGTAGGTTTAGTAGCCTCCCCTCCTCCGGTGGTCTCTTCAGCTTTTGCAGCTCCGCTGGTGACCGCCTTAACCTTTGCGGCTTTCCGATTTGCCCTCCGAGCTTCTATGCTACCTTCGAGCATCTCCTTCATCTTGAGCTGGCCTTCGATCACTTTCTCAAGCTGTTCTCTCTCCCGGGCTTTATTTTATTGACAAGAATTCAGTCGATCCTCGTTCACACGCTTGAAAGCCTTCAGACGGTAAAGCTCTTTGTAATCAGGATACATGGTTAATTTCTTTTCAACCTTTTACTTGGGGATTTGAGATTAATACGAAGAAAAAGACCATGGGTGGGGCTTATAAATAATACTAAGTGGTTCCCTGCCCAAGGCAACCACCACGTCATCTATGCTTTTGTTTTGTTTTTCACTTATTTTGATATTAAGCCGTTGAAAAACAAAACAAAAGAATAAATGACGTGGTGAGGACCACTTAGTATTATTTATAGGCTCCATCCATGATCTTCTTCTTCGTATTAATCCCAAATCCCCAAGTCAAAGGTTGAAAACAAATTAACCATGGATCCTGATTACAAAGAGCTTTACCGTCTGAAGGCTTGTATTCGTGTGAATGAGGATCAACTGAATTCTTGTCAAGAAAATGAAGCCCGTGAGTGAGAGCGGCTTGAGAAAGTGATCGAAGGTCAGCTCAAGATGAAGGAGATGCTCGAAGGTAGCATAGCAACTCGGAGGGCAAATCGGAAGGCTGCAAAGGATGAGGCGATCACCAGCGGAACTACAAAAGCTGAAGGGACCACAGGAGGAGGGGAGGCTACTAAACCTTCTGATAAGTAACTAAACAAAGAATGATCATACAATACTATTGGTCAAACTTGCAGCTGCAATAAATGACATATAGGAGAAATTGGTTGTCAAATTGTCAAACTTGCAGGTGCAATAAATAGCATGAGAAAATTGGTTGTCAAATTGGTTGCCAAACCAACAACCCAATTAACGGTGCATCTTTGCTGAAAATAAGGAAAGCTAATTAAATGAATTAGTTAGAAATAAAATGGGGGCTTCTGCATCTAAAATAGCTCACCCCAATAGGTTCTTTAAAATCCAAGTGAGAAACACAAAGAAAAGCTTAGATAGAAAAGATTTAGTAAGAGAAAATTGAGAGCAATTTTCAGGGTGTAATTGGGTTGAGTTGTGAGTGTTTTGTAAACACTTATAAATTTTCTCACTTTAGTAAAAGATTTACAGCAGTCTGAAGACGTATGCATAATTAGCCGAACTCCGTTATCAAATTTCGTGTTATTATTCCGCTTTTATTTCGCATTCTCGCTAATCTAGTTATAGGAAAATTACTCGTTTAATTTCCCAACAACTAGCATCAAAGCTTTTTGTGGTTAATTTTGTCAGGTTTTTTTTACGAGATTACTATTTACATGAATAGTGAATTCCTTGAATAGTAAATTCTGTGAATAGTAAAATTTGGTCGGCGATACGAGTTTGTCGATGGAGGTATTCTAATACACGGTGGTTCGCATAAATTGTTAGAAACGATCCAAAAGAAGCCATATTCGAGTGAGAGCGATTGCTGCAGACGAAAGGAATGTGAAAATTAAGAAGTTATATGGTGAGAACTTTGGCTTTTGGAAGATGCAGATTGAAGATTTTCTCTACCAGAAAAAGCTATATTAACATCTCTCAGGAAAACAACCAAAGGGTATGGAGGATGAAGACTAGGCTCTTATCGACAGACAAGCCCTCGAAGTTATCCGACTGACGTTATCCCGCAATATTGCTTTCAACATAGCAAAAGAAAAGACCACGACGGGTCTTATGACGGCTCTCTCCAGTATGTATGAGAAGCCAATGACCTCAAACAAAGATCACTTGATGAGACAACTATTCAATTTGTAGATGGCAGAATGGGAATCAGTGGCTCAACATCTAAATGAACTCAACACAATCACAACCCAGTTGAGTTCCGTGAAAATTGAATTCGATGATAAAGTTCGAGCTTTAATTATCTTATCATCTCTACCAGAAAATTGGAATACTATTGTTACCGTAGTCAACAGCTCGTCGGGAAACAGTAAATTGAAATTCGACGATGTTCGGGATCTGGTATTGAGTGAAGAAATTCGACGGAGAGAATCGGGTAAAGCATCAAGCTCCTCAGCCTTGCACACGGAATCTAGTGGGAGAACTTCAAAACGGGAAAGAAAGCAAGGTCACTTTAAAAGAGATTGTCGAGCACCAAAAAAAGATATCGGCGCACAGGAATCTGCCAACGTGACATAGAAAGCAAGATCATAATTTCCAGTCCCTGTACATAAAGATATCAATAGTTGCCTATTGATAAATAAACAATGTAGAAACAAGTAAAATATTAGTTGCCTATTGATAAATAAACAATGTAGAAACAAGTAAAATATTAGTTAATTAATGACCAATGCATGAGTTTTCTGGTGCAAAGCAAACTTTAAATGTCTTCCGCAAAATAAAGTATGAGGAACTTATGCAACAAAAGTTGTAAATCATTTCAATAACTACAGAACTTTTTCCTAGTCAGTGATTAACTTTAAATGATTTCTTCGCTCCACATGTCTCAATTTAGGTCATCTTCTCTGTTCAAGAGAAAACCTTGTCACGTGAAGAAAGGCAAAAATGCAAAGTCCATAAATCATCAATGCATGCAACCTACTTGCCCATTCCATTCCATGTAGAAACAAAATGCTTACACCAACTCAAAATTGTTTATTTATGCACAAACTGACATAACTCAAAAGCCACTCATAGGATAAGCTTCTATTTCTGGAAACTGCAATTTAACTTAAAAGAACTTGTGTTGACCATGTTTATAGCGCACAAAATTCAACTACCATGAACTTAATTTGATGAACATTTTTCCATGAAACACCCTTTGTCAACTAATGCTCCTCAAGGGATTTACAAGAATTGCCAGTCTAGCTCAGTTGGTAGAGCGCAAGGCTCTTAATCTTGTGGTCGTGGGATTGAGTCCCACGGTAAGTAATTATCTTAGGTCGTTGTAGATGCTCCACAGTTTTCCTCTTTCTTTTAGTAATTATGGTGTCAAATTCATGTTTAGCCAAACAAAAACACAAAATTTTGCATCAATCTGACCTTCACTACTTCATTGATAGCCTTATCAGCATCCTTATATGCCACTATCAACAAACATAGGAGCTCAAAAAAGGGTTAAAAAAAATTATCTTAGGTTGTCGTAGATGCCCCACGGTTTTCCTCTTTCTTTTAGTAATTATGGTGTCAAATTCATGTTTAGCCAAACAAAAACACAAAATTTTGCATAAATCTGACCTTCACTACTTCAATGATAGACTTATCAGCATCCTTAACATAGTGCCCACTAAAATCAGCAATTTTCCCAGTAAAGCAACCATCATCATCAACTGCTAGAATCAGATTCTCATCCTACATACCAAAAATTGATAAATAAATGGTAAAAGAAGTAAAAAGAAGGGATGATATTAATCTGAGAGTTAAAACATAAAAAAGCATGAAAATTAATTCAATTTACATAAAAGTGCAAACAAATATTGTGAATTAAAGAAATGAAGCTTATTGTAGGATTCCCGATGAATTCTTCAATTTCTTTCGGAAGCAAATGTTATGAACCCATCTCTCATGTTCCATGTACAACCAGAACAAAAATTTCATAACAGAAAAGTATTAATTTTGCAAAAAACCATCAAGCAAGAACATTACCGTGGCATGAACGCCAAATGAAAATTCAAAATATGTATACATCATAATATAAGACTAAACAATCATAATAGCTGAGAAATCCACTCAGACAAAGTACTTAAGAGCAAACCTTATTGATTATTTGATTTTTAGTACAAACACGGTAATCATCTTCACCAAATGCAGGAGCACAGTGTACAATTCCAGTACCACTATCATCTTTCACATAGTTGTCAGCTATTACCCTAAAAGTAACATCTGAAAACTCCAAGAAGTAGTTGAACAATGATTCATACCTGCAACACATGTTCCCTCTTAGTATCCTACTACAAAGAAGCTGCATTGGCTAAAACCAATTTAAATACCACAAAAGACAGTAATGAATTTTAATGTTCTCTAGAACATTAAAACTGGCAACCAAATATCGATCGCCGGCACTGCAGCTTTTATAATATTCCACTTAATGTTGCACATGCTGCATTTCGTTCCTACTAGTGAAGAACAATTGTTGTATAATATAGCATATTAGAGATCACCCAGACAGGGATCCTTAACGCATGAACCAAGGTGTCTAAAGCTAGATATCACTGCTTAATAATTCACAAAAGAACTGCTTGGATGTAGACCATACAAACTTCTTTTATAGTCAGCTACAACAAAAAACAGAACTATAAGTATGAATACTCACTTTTTCCCCACTTATGAAGCCTCAGAAAATTTTTCTAAGACCTCAAAGGAATCAGCTGCAGAATCTTTAGTCTTTTCACCATAAGTTCATTTGCTCTTAGATTTCTTGGAACCACCAGAAGATTCATTAGACGAATTTGACTTTGGGTTCTCAGTTGGAAGCTCAGATAACCTTGACTCAGCAACCACGTAGATTTTCCAGAGTACTTATTGCGGACCTGAAATATAATTACAAAACCCATGTCTTTAGGAAGAAAGTCATATCTACGTCCTGCGTGCAGACATATATTAAATATGAAAGAAGATGCAACTATTTATGCCCCATGCATCAACCAAGAAAGTGCTAGGAAAAGGAAAAACTATTCATGCACTTCAATACTATGATCCCACTCCTTTTGTAAAAGCCCCATCTATTTGAATGGAATGGCTATTTAAAAACTTCAGTGATAAAACATAAATTAAGCAATTATGAACATTCATGATGGAGCAGCGGATTTTCCAGGACAGGAGTGAATCAAATAACAAAGTTACAAGTAGTGCACAACATCATGTATAAACTAAAACTAAGAGTATGCATTGATTAAACCCAAAATGATGTAGATATGACATGATAAAACAGCTCGACCATCTTGTGCTGATGACCTAAATAGATAACAAGTTGAAGGCAACAGACCTTCACATAGACAAAATTTGCGTTGACACAGAGTGCAAGATTATTAGGAAGGGTCCATGGGGTTATCGTCCAAGCCACAAAAGCAGCATTATCTGGATCACCAATTTTGGGGAAAGCCACCATTATTGAAGGATCAGATACAGACTGCACATTCAAGAGTCTGTTGGGTTAAAAGAGGTGAAAACAGAATTTGTATTGAACTTAGAAGATTTCTGAAAGGTCATCAGACACAACCAACTAGAAAGAAGAAATTTATATTGTTTCACAAGAGGAAAATGAAAACTTGTGAGCTTTGTCCTGTAAACATGACACACAAACTGCAAGTAATTTATTATCAGTAACATGAATATTACACGAACTAAGAACATTCTTAAGAACACCCAACGATGGGTGACCAAAACGCTGATGCCACACTACCAGAGACCCTTGAGTTTGGGAAATAGTATTGTTCTCCACACACTGACCATCAAAATCATGAACCTCGAAAAACAGAGTTTGAAACTTATACAACTCATCAGAAGTGCGCTTCCCGCGTAGTAACGTAGCATGAGGCTGGGAATCCTTCACAAGGCACACAGATGAATGAAATTCAACAATAACATTATTTTCACGAGTCAATTGTGAGATAGAAGGTAAGTTTTTCTTTATGGAAGGAACACACAAAACATTGTCTAACTGCAAAACCCTAGACTTAGTAACCAACTTACCACACTCAATATGAGTGATTGAAACTTCCTCGCCATTACCCATAAAAATAGAGTTGTTACTTGTATAAGACATGTCAGACTAAAGATTGGCCCGATCGTTGGTAATGTGATGCGTAGCACTAGAATTTGGATACCAACAAACATCTTTATCCATGGTGGAAGCAAAAGCACATGAGAACCCCGAACGAGACTATTGTTGTGAGGCAAAAGGAATATGAGAAGTTGAAATAATAAGAGCAGATGTAGGATGAGAAAAACTAGCAAACCTATGCGAGGTGTAAGCAGATTTATGGGAAATATAAGCATTAATATCGTCGTTTCCAATTTCAAACTTAGGATTAAAACCACTGGTTCCAACACCCAACGGATAATTAAAGAATAACGATCCACCTAAAGAGATTCCTTGAAAAACCAAAGCGGCACGAACCCTAAAACCTTGATCATGTATGACCAAGGGCTTTGAATTTATAGCAGAATATGGGCCTAAACTTTATGTCACATATGGCCTCACAGAAATAGCAGAAGGCTTGTATGCACTCAGACTAGGGCTGAGCAACGAAATCGAGAAAACCGAAAAACCGACATGAACCGAGTAAAATAGTTCAGTTCGGTTTGGCATTATACGGTTCGATTTACGGTTCGGTTTAAAGTCTTAATTCTTTTGATTCGGTTCGAGTTTTCCATATGGAACTCATTTGTTCCATATTGAACCGAATAGGCAATTTTTTTTAAAAAAATTATAGTTTCAACTGATTTTTTCATTGAAAAACCGATAAATCAAACTGAACCGAACCAAAACCTTGAACCATTAAAAAAACTGAACCAAAAAACCGGTTTATATTTTTTTGGTTTTTTAACCATTCGGTTTCGGTTTTGGTTTAAATATTGAAAAATTGTTTATTTCGGTTCGGTTCAATTTTTGGTAAAAAATCGAACCGAACTGAATATACCTCTAACTCAGACCATCAACCCCAACAAATCCAGGTGGATAAAGCACATGAGTCAAACACCTGAGCAAGAATCGTCGGGCTACCGTGAACAAAGTTTATCAATCATCACTCTGACTACCATCGGTGCGAGAGTTCCTCGAGGAATGCCCCTGAAACGTATGATCAAATCGATAGTAACACTTTTGTACTAGATGCCCATATTTTCCATATAACTGACATTGTGGTTCATTATTAAAACATCCACGACCGCGACCACAACCACCATCATCACGATTTCTCTGAGACACATCTTTCGATTCAAATGAGAGATGAAACTCGGATGATTTCTTCCCAGCATAACCATCATTCTCATTATGTGAGGAAATATTTGCATGAACCAATGCACTATTATTGAAAAAATCCTTATGCCTTGCTTCAAAATCGAGAAATATGTCCGTTAGAGTGGACAAGGTCATCGTCTCCTTCGAAACAATAGCAAAAAAAAATTCAAAATCAATAAAAAGTCCCGCAAGAATGACACTAACATGTTTATATTCTGTGATAACAACATCAGCAGCGTAAAGCTTATTGTAAATGAGCTTGATCTGGCCAAGAATTCACTAACCGAGAGTTCGCGCTTCTTCTAAGAGTGAAGAAAATGCCTAAAGGTAGAGATTTTGGCACTCGAGTGAGCTCCAAACAACTTGGAGATTGCCTTCAAAATATCACTAGCATTCGTGAGGCTAATCAGGTACGTGAGAACTTTTGATGAAACAGTTGAAAGCAGCCACAAGGCAAGCAGCTTGTACTACTGCCGATGAACAAGAAACTGAGGGTTCTAAACCAATAACCACTCCCATGTGTTGATAAATTCATCAGGAGACTGCAAAAAATTGAAAACATATTTCAACAACCTTAAACCGTCCATGATCAATAAGACTTGGTGCTTCCAGAATAAATGTTAGAATGCCACACTACCAGAGACCCTTGAGTTTGAGAAAGAGTATTGTTCTCCACACACTGATCATCAACATCATGAACCTTGAAAAATAGAGGTTGAAACTTATACAACCCATCAGAAGTGCGCTTCTCGCATAGTAACGTAGCATGAGGCTGGGAATCCTTCACAAGGCACTCAGATGAATGAAATTCAACAAAAATATTATTTTCACGAGTCAATTGTGATATAGAAAGTAAGTTTTTCTTTATGGAATGAACACACAAAACATTGTCTAACTGCAAAACCCTAGACTTAGTAACCAACTTACCACACTCAATATGAGTGATTGAAACTTCCTCACCATTACCCATAAGAAGAGAGTTGTTACTTGTATAAGGAATGTCAGAGTAAATATTGGCCCGATCATTGGTAATGTGATACGTAGCACTAGAATTTGGATACCAACAAACATCTTTATCCATGGTGGAAGCAAAAGCACATGAGAACCCCGAACGAGACTGTTGCTGTGAGACAAAAGGAATATGAGAAGTCGAAATAATATGAGCAGATGTAGGATGAGAAAAACTAGCAAACCTATGCGAGGTGTAAGCAGATTTATGGGAAATATAAGCATTAATACCGTCATTTCCAATTTCAAACTTAGCATTAAAACCACTTGTTCCAACACCCAACGGAGAATTAAAGAATAACGAGCCACCTAAAGAGATTCCTTGAAAAACTAAAGCGGCATGAACCCTAAAACCTTAATCAGGTATGACCAAGGGCTTTGAATTCATAGCAGAATATGGGTCTAAACTTTATGTCACATATGGCCTCACATAAATAGAAGAAGGCTTGTATCCACTCAGACTAGGGCTGAGCAACGAAATCGAGAAAACCGAAAAACCGACACGAACCGAGTAAAATGGTTCGGTTTGGTTTGGCATTATACGGTTCGGTTTTCGGTTCGTTTTAAAGTCTCAATTCTTTTGATTCGGTTCGGTTTGGGTTTTCGATGTGGAACTCATTTGTTCCATATTGAACCGAATAGGCAATTGTTTTTAAAAAAAGTATAGTTTCAAGTGATTTTTTCATTGAAAAACAGATAAATCGAACTGAACCGAACTGAAAAACCCGAACCATTAAAAAAACTGAACCGAAAAATCAGTTTCTATTTTTTCGGTTTTTTAACCATTCAGTTTCGGTTTAAATTTTGAAAAATCGTTTATTTAGGTTCGGTTCAATTTTTGGTAAAAAACCGAATCGAACCGAACTGAATACACCTCTAACTCAGACCATCAACCCCAACAAATCCAGCTGGATAAAGCACATGAGTCAAACACATGAGTAAGAATCGTCGGGCTACTGTGAACAGAGTTTATCAATCGTCACTTTGACTACCATCGGTACGAGAGTTCCTCGAGGAATGCCCCTAAAACGTATGATCAAATCGATAGTAACACTTTTGTACTAGATGCCCATATTTTCCATATAACTGATATTGTGGTTCATTATTAAAACATCCATGACCGCGACCACATCCACCATCATCACAATTTCTCTGAGACACATCTTTCGATTCAAAGGAGAGATGAAACTCGGATGATTTCTTCCCAGCATAACCATCATTCTCATTATGTGAGACAACATTTGCATGAACCAATGCACTATTATTGGAAAACTCCTTATGCCTTGCTTTACAATCGAGGAATATGTCCGTTAGTGGACAAGGTCATCGTCTCCTTCGAAGAAATAGCAAAAAAAAATTCAAAATCAATAAAAAGTCCCGCAAGAATGACACTAACATGTTTATATTCTATGATAACAATATCAGCAGCGTAAAGCTTATCGTAAATGAGTTTGATCTGGCCAAGAATTCACTAATCGAGAGTTCGCGCTTCTTCTGAGAGTGAAGAGAATGCCTAAAGGTATAGATATTGGCAGTTGAGTGAGCTCCAAACAACTTGGAGACTGCCTTCAAAATATCATTAGCATTCGTGAGGCTAATCAGGTATGGGAGAACTTTTGATGAAACAGTTGAAAGCAGCCACGAGGCAAGCAGCTTGTACTACTGCCGATGAACAAGAAACTGAGGGTTCTAAACCAATAACCACTCCCATGTGTTGATAAATTCATCAGGAGACTGTAAAAAATTGAAAACATATTTCAACAACCTTAAACCATCCATGATCAAAAAGACTTAGTGCTTCCGGAATAAATGTTAGAACCAAAACGCTGATGCCACACTACCAGATACCCTTGAGTTTGGGAAATAGTATTGTTCTCCACACACTGATCATCATCATCATGAACCTCGAAAAACAGAGGTTGAAACTTATACAACCCATCAGAAGTGTGCTTCCCGTGTAGTAACGTAGCATGAGGCTGGGAATCCTTCACAAGGTACTCAGATGAATGAAATTCAACAAAAACATTATTTTTACGAGTCAATTGTGAGATAGAATGTAAGTTTTTCTTTATGGAAGTAACACACAAAAAATTGTCTAACTGCAAAACCCTAGACTTAGTAACCAACTTACCACACTCATTATGAGTGATTGAAACTTCCTCACCATTACCCATAGGAAGAGAGTTGTTACTTGTATAAGGCATGCCAGAGTAAAGATTGGCCCGATCGTTGGAAATGTGATGCGTATCACTAGAATTTGGATACCAACAGACATCTTTATCCATGGTGGAAGCAAAAGCACATGATAACCTCGAACGATACTGTTGCTGTGAGACAAAAGGAATATGAGAAGTCGAAATAATAGGAGCAGATGTAGGATGAGAAAAACTAGCAAACCCATGCGAGGTGTAAGCAGATTTATGGAAAATATAAGCATTAATACCGTCGTTTCCAATTTCAAACTTAGCATTAAAACCACTGGTTCCAACACCCAACGGATAATTAAAGAATAACGAGCCACCTAAAGAGATTCCTTGAAAAACCAAAGTGGCATGAACCCTAAAACCTTGATCAGGTATAACCAAGGGCTTTGAATTCATAGCAGAATATGAGCTTAAACTTTATGTCACATATGGCCTCACAGAAATAACAGAAGGCTTGTATGCACTCAGATTAGGGCTGAGCAACGAAACCGAGAAAACCAAAAAAACTGACACGAACCGAGTAAAATGGTTCGGTTCGGTTTGGCATTATACGG